TCCTCTCCAGCGGTGACTCATTGCAGTGTGACCAGTTAGGGTTCAATACCCGTTCATTCAAACGGACAGTCACCGAAACCACAGCAGGAAATTGCATGATTAGTGGTTTTTCAATCTGAAAGTGAACTATTACCTGCTTGTTGATGTGGGCCACTAAAGGGCGTTGCACATTTTGGATTGCCAGAAGTTGATGGAAACAAGGAAAATATAATGATCCGCACAGGTGACACTCTTCAGTGTCTGACCGGCAAATGCCGGAACCGAAAGAGTCCCCCTAAAGAACTCACTCTACCGACCCTAGCACTTCAACAAGCATCACAACATCTGTCTTAGGGATCATCCAGAGGAATTCTTACGGTTGTAGATACCGTTGTGGATGTCGGAGCACAAATCAAGATGAGAACGATAGTCACCAGTTTATCGTCCCAGAAAACATATACTCGAGTCGCACTACCGCTGTCCAGCTTTCCTCCATTTCTCTGGTTGACGGCCCTTTGGTTGTTTACCCCCCCCCCTGCCTGGTAGTTCTTTGTATCACAGTTTATATATATATATATTTATATTTGTGTATTTATATATTTATATTTTTTTGTAATTCCCCCTCGTCTGAGTTCAGATTGCGTGCAAATGAAATCACGCTAGAGTTATCTTTATGGAAGGAAAGCTTCATATGTGTTCATCAAGGTTACAATTGCAGAAGAGAATACGTCTGATCTCTTGCCTTCTGGGATGCAAAATAGACCGCACCTGTTGGATAACTATAAGACCACTGCCATTCTCCTTTTCATTACTTATTGGTTTTTCTACCTGATAAAATAGTTTGTTCTCAGACGAATTTTTTGTATTGTTCATTGAATTGATTGATTAGATTGTTTCACCTTTTGCTTCAGTAGCCCGGATTTGTGCATTGTGTTTAAGTTTGTTAACTAGGGGTCGCTGTACTAAATGTTATTATATGAAGATGGTTTCGACGCCAATGTGGCCAAAATAAATCAGTTTGCAAAACATCAGTCTTTGTTTTCATTCAGATGAATAAAACAAGCCTTTTTTCAAGATCCACACGAAACGTTGTTCACAGCTTGAAAAGGTGGATGATTAGTAAAAATTATGACTGTCTTCCACACCTCGAACGAAAGTTAGAATCAGGCGACATTTCTTTCCTTTCATTTGGGAATATTCTGTTTAACCCGTCATTTTCATGTCGGAGCATTCTTTTACTCTTGGAAGTTTTTGGTGCTACTGACTACCGGTAATGTTTTCTATTCAACTCTTCACCAAAAGATCAGTTAGATTATTATTAGCATCCTCTGCCTTACACTTTGTCCTTCACTTTTCACTCCCAGGTCAATTGGCGATTATGCATACAAAGCGGTTAAAGGTCTTGGCCCAACGGAACAGTTGATTTCACCGGAACCCGAAATAACAGTCCTGGACAGGGATAGGTCTTTGGATGAGATCATTGTACTGGCCTGTGATGGGGTCTGGGATGTTCTAAGCAATGAGGCATTATGCAGTCTGTTACAACACCGAATGCGCTGTACAGATGATTTATCAACTGTTTGCAATGAGACAATTGACACATGTCTTTACATGGTAAGTGCTCTTCCACACTTTTCACTTGGTGTGGGGTTTATTTTTATTTCCTCCGACGTAGTTACCGGTGCTGGTAGTATCCCTTCCCCAGCTGACGTCTACTGGAATAAGCGTTTCCAGTCCCGTTTAACCCGTTATGGTCACTTGATTTTCTTTGGCTGTTTTATACGACCTCGTTGTTTAGGAAGATTGACATCCCGGAAACAAAATTACTCATCGAGATTATTCATCCTCAAGACAGAAACGGGCCAGCAGGTAACCGTCTAAAAATGCAAAAAAATCCTAGCAGTTTGTTCACTGTAAATGTATAAACGCAGCTCAAGTTACCATACGCTGTTTATATTTTATTTCTCCTTTCGGAAAATCTGTTACCTTTTCTACTTCCTATCACCTTTTAAAATGTTTGATATTCTCTGATTTTGTCTTCTGTAACATTTAAAGAGTTGTTTTATTAGTGTTGTTTTATAGGAAAACAGGACTACAGTTTTTATTTGTCTTGAAGCTTAATTAATCTTCGGTACTCAGAATTGTATTCTCACTTAACGATTGTATCAGACCCATCATCGATCGAATGCTCTGTGAATGGGTAGACTGTGTTTTAGGTCTAAACGCGTGATGAATGAAGTATAGGGCCTTAGTAAAAGAGGCAGCGTATGATACGTATAATGACGAGTGATGGGAAAGTAATCAGACGGATCAATGTTCTTATCACGAACAACGACCACTCGGTAGCTTTCGTGTCCTATCATTATTCATTTAGATCTAATGTGATGGCTGTATGGTTTCATGCCTTTTTGTGAACCACATGGAACAAAAAGAACAATTCATGATACCAGTGTTGAGATTGTTTACTCTCTTCTATCTGTCTGTCCCCTTTATCTTTTTCTAATCTCCAACTCTATATACACACATCCCTCGTTGTGCCTTTTCCTTTTGCTCTTTGGTTCGCTACCACCAAAATTGATTACTAACCTTATACTCTCATCGTCTTTCTTCCTTTCCAACTTGAACGGATTTCCATCTATGTTCCAAAAGACATGTTTTCTTCCTTTTTACCGGAACTTCTATCCCATAATACACCAATCGTTCGTTTCCCACTTCCGGTCCGTTTCACATCCAAACAATTTGGCGAAAAATTCGTGCTTGCTGGCTTCTTTTCCTTGAATCCTTCATAATTCCTCGTTTGCTTCTCCAGGTGCGGTCTTGTTGAATATGCTATTTCTTTCAAAGTAACTATTTACACTAACCCATCCTTTAGATATAAGTATAGGGTCACCCCATTCTCTAGTACAGAAGTCACGTGTTACCTGTTTGCTCCTGTAATCCGTCGAGTCTCCTTGTCGATGATCCGATGAACTCCAAAGCTAATTGACCGTCCTCAGTCGTCTTTTCACAGTTCCATTAACTTCTCGTCATCACTTTCATCAACTCTTACGTTCATTGTCCGTTAGAGGACACAGAAGTTCTCATTTATATATATATATATACATATCATAATAAGCAGTATGTGAATGACTGGAAAAAAATTACCTGGAAGCACACGACTGGTTTTGCGGTTCGTGCCGCTCGTCAGGCATGCGTTTCCCGTGATCCTTTGCCCGTTCATTCATATACTTACACCCAGGAGATGTATTTTCGTCACAATAACCATCTTTGCAACATCGGGTGACCATTGGATAGACAGCTCTTTCAGTCCATTGAAGAACCAATGCTTTGATTTGATGTTTTTGTAAGTGGGTTTGATGCTACTAACGGTATATATATATATATATATATATATATATATATCACATCAGGATCCAGACTGTGTTCCGAACAAATCATGGTACAATAATCTTCATAAAAAGAAAAAAGTCCATGATTTGCCTTCAGAAGCCTCGGTACGTTCGGGGGTTGGTGTCTCAGGTTGCGACTGGTCAGCCGTCGTTTGAACTTTGCAGAATTCTTGTGGTTCACCTACTCGACCATAGCCTCGGATATTAACTTTTCTTCCTCTCCGTCACCCGAAGGCAGTGAGTAGGGTTTCGTTAGCAGAGGTTATTTGAGGCGCTCACTAATATGGGAGCATTTTGAGAGGTACAAAGGAGGGGTAACCAGCTGCAACTTGAGACACCAACCCCCTCCCTCATCTTTATTTCGTATCATGCGTATGCTGGAACATGATCACCATGCAGAAAAGATAAACAAAAGCCATTACTTTTCGATCTTTTTTCAGCAGGATTTGATCCTAATGGGTTGGTCTGATCAACTCGATAGTATGCCACACTTATCCTACTGGGGCCTTTCGGGTTTGACACTCAAAGTCATTTCTTTGCACAACTGTAGGTCCTCGGAACAGTTATTCCATCTCTTCTACATTTCTTCTTTCTCTCATTAGATCTTTTGAACCTCGAAGCCTTTCTCTTGTTCAGTTTGCACAACCATCAATCTAGAATTGAATTGTCTCCATTTTGATTTCTGTTCTTTGGTTACCCATTCGGTCGATCAATGAGAGAGAGGGGAGGCTATAGGTGACTTGATACTCGTTTTTTAGTGAAGATGCAGAAAGCAAGTAAGTTAGATCTGCTTAGAAAGTAAGTAGATGCACGATTGAACTGGTGCACGATTATCAATGCTTGGGACAAAGCTCTATCGCGTTTCATGATAAGGTTGGACACGAGATCCCCAATCCAGGAACTTAGTGCAATCTGTGTGGCTGGGTCTTGGGTGATCTCAGTCGCCTACTAGGGTGTTAGCTCAGTCTCCAGACATTGCAGTGGATGGGGAGTTTTACGCGTCACCAAATAGATTGCCCTGCTGTGCTACGTTTGCCGAGGCAACTTGTATCAGGAAAAAGTGAGGGGTGATCGAACTGTCGTGCGGGTATGATCACCCCAACTAAGGGACTCAGTCATATAGGTCACCTTAGGCTCCTTGGATGGGCATCCTGAGGTCAGCGTAATTAGTGGTTAGAGTTTTTGAGTGATATGACTTGGTGTAATAAAGCGTGACACTCGTGCATCTACGCTTGGTGAACGTGAGTTCTCTGTTTTCACATTACCACCGTTCCCAACATCCCAACCTTCCCATACTGTCATCCAAATGGGTAACCAAAAGGCTTAAACCGAAACCGCCGCACGTAAGTGCAAATGTAGTGGTTGCATAAACTAAAACCGGATACTGCTGATTAAGTGTGTTCAAAGTTGTTAGGTTGACGTCAACTAGATTGTTTACAACTATCACATTATAACATATTCGTTCTGAATGCACATCAATCATCTAGTACATGAGAACATAACCAATAACTTGCATTGATGCGGGGAAGGTTTGAATCTTTTCCAGCCAACGAATGCAGTCATATACAAAAAACACAGATAGTGTGCGTTTTGTGTGCGTCTATTATTTTCGTATACTCTTCACTGATTAGACCGATTCTCTCCCATTTCCATCCAGGGCAGCTCGGATAACATGAGTATGGTGTTAGTTGCTTTCGATCCGGCACCGAGAACGGATCCTAAATGCAAACTGGAGGATGAAAAACTGGATGCGATCCTACTTGAACGGGCTAAAGGTGGATACATTTGATTTATTTGTTTATGTTGAACCGTATAAGAATGTACTTAATGTACTTCTATAAGTTAACATATCTTGATTGCAGTATTGAATATATAAAACCGAAACTTCCATCGTCCTATTATTATATTATTATACAGTGCTGAGCCATGTTTTCAACCGTCCATCTAAACTATAGTGTTATTGATTCAGTGTGTTCGCCCATTTCTGATCGTTTAAAATATGGAAAACTTCCTGTTCCGTTGAAACCAGTGGTGATTTTCGTCAGGAGTGTTAAATGTTGCTACATTTTCATTTCATCCTACGCAAGATTCTGATAAGAAACTCTCTAGGTTACACCAGGCTGCACAAGTTAGAGCACGTTGACAACGTTGAAATGTTTAGAACATCTTTGCAACACTGACTTAAAGATACAAAAACTGGCTCAATTTTCAATATGCTTGCGAGCCCTCAGAATACCAATACTAATGCGGAACTGCATGCTGATTATTTCTATCATTGAGTGAGATGGTTACCACCATGTCGAGGATGTAAGTTGGTTCAATTTACTTGGTATGATGGCTTGCGTGCCTCCATGGCCCCACGAGCTTTACAGAGTGGGTTTTCATGGTCTCAGATGTAACCACGCCTGTAATGTGAATGAGTAGAGGTCAGAACAATTCTTTCCCATAAGGCCAGTTGACTGAACACCTCTGGGCTTCCTTTGGCCACCTACTTTCGCCCCTGGATAGGTCTCTGTAGTAAGTAAACAGCGGGAATAGCAGTTTATCGATTTAACCCCCATAGTAGGTGGACGTAGAGCCAATCGTGAACGACAACCGAAAATCAACGCACGTCCGAACAAAACACTGAAACGAAACTCGAAGGTCTTGCTTGACGGGTCACTAGAATACCATACAGTTGCACCGGTCACGTCCCCACTTTGGCTCTATGCCCCCCCTGTTCGATTGCTAAATCAATAGTTCCAGTCAGGGTTGCCGAAGAAAAAACAATTGTTCGTCGTGGACTGTCGTGAAGTGTGTTGTGCCCTAAAGTCTAATGAAACAGGATGAGTTATACAAGGACTTTTCTCGACTTCTTCAGTGGTGACGCAACATACGGCATACTAGTCGCGGGTGATCTTAATGCTGAAGTTTGATATTTGAATCAATCTCGCAGGTGCCTAATAGGCTTACATGCAATCTCAACCAACCCAGACCAACAACGAATATCGCTTAATTCAACTTTGCGTAGACCACGGATTGTGCCTATCAGGCACCAACTTCTACCACAAGAAACGACAATGTCTTACGTGGAACCCACCTAAGTCTTCTCAGCGTTGGAGTCAGCTAGACCATATTACCGTCAGCTACCGCTGTTTGAGATTCATTCAAGACTGCTTCTCTTACTGGTCAAAACCTGTGAATACGGATCATACCTTTTTGCGAGGCAGAATCATCCCTCATCCATAAGTAACCGCACCAATACCACTGAAATCAGAGACCCACAGTGTGTGGTGAGCGACAGTTGGAAATCTGCCCTTGAAGCGGAGTACTCTCGTCACCTCATTTCCACCGGATGAACAATGCAGAGGTCAAGTCCTAGACTTTTAGGCAATCGCAGGTGCACAACCTCTATAGATTACGTCGGTTGGGGCACGTGTTACGCTTGTCACTTTACTATGCTTGTCGAGATAGTTAGTGAGTGGGAAAATAGCCAAGAGTAGTCCAATAAAGACCTGGCGTGCGGATATGAAATCCCTGATTGGGATCCTAAGTCATATAGATCACGTTAGGCTTCCTCAGTGGGAAGTCGGGATCAGTGTAATCAATGGTTAGAGACACGGTGGTGCCCATGCACTTACACTCGCAGCCTTGGTCTCTGTTATACCTGTTCGCCTGTTCGTGTATACTTCGGCATGGGGTGCTTGATCAAGGTTAAACTAGAACTGAACTGAGCTTTATCAGAATTCGCTGATAGACGCGTGTTGTGTGTTACCTAACCCTACCTGCCACAGATTCCCCAGGTGCAGCCCATGATCCATGAGGTTCTTAGCCATGTAGAGGTTTATGCATTACGCGAAAACGGGGTATCCAGAATTTCACACAATGCATGAGTGGTAGATACCTCCCAGCTTTCGAAGTTGCATTCAATCACTAAAGAACGGGAAGGCTGCGGGACCTGATGGGCTTTTCTCTATTCTCTTCAAGGTGGGCGATGATTCTCATGTTGACTTAATTACCAGCTTACTTCGCAGCATTTGGACGGAGGAGCGTATCCCTTTTTCCAGGGGTGAATCGTTGATCGTCCGGATCTTCAAGAAGAAATCACGCAATGACTGCGCTAACCACCGTAAGATTAGTTTCGTTCCGATAATCACAAAAGTGTTGACTTCTGTGATACTTCACTGCCTGACACCCTTAAGGGAGAGGAATATCCGCGAACAGCAAGCAGGATTCCGACCAGGTCGAGGTTTCATCGACCAAATCTTCGCCCTGCGTGAAGTCCTAGAACTGCGTCACACACATCGTCGGCTAACAATGGCAGTGTTCCTTGACCTGAAAGGAGCCTACGATTCAGTTGACCGTGAAGCTCTTCTGGGGTCCCTGCTTCGCAAACGAATGTCGCTGAAGTATGTAAACCTGTTGCGGTCGTTGTACCTGCATGCTTCCGATAGCGTAAGGGTTTACGGTAGGCTAAGTAAATCGTTCGAAACCAGGAGCAGTGTTCGTCAAGGGTGCCCTATTTCGCCATTCCTGTTCAATTTCCTCGTAGACGAAATAATGGAGAACACACTTAGTGGTCTCCAGAACGTAGGTATTGAATGGGCAGCTGGAGAAAAGCAGTACGGTTTAGAGTACGCTGGCGACATCGTTCGTCTGTTCGAATGTATGGAGGATGCGCAAAGCGCTCTTGACAGACTAGCAAGTTCTGTTACTCATTTCGGCATGCGCTTTGCACCTTCAAAGTGCAAAGTGATGCTACAAGAATGGGTGTCGTCTACCCCAGCACTGATGCTTGATGGTCAAGAATTAGCTGTAATGAAGTGTTTCACCTACTTAGGTAGCTGTGTTACAAAAGACGGTAACACAGTCAATTAAGTAACTGGCCGCATTTCCAAGGCTCGAGCAGCTTACGCAGGACTGAAACACCTTTGGTGCAGACGCGATTTTTCTTTTGAAACTGAAAGGTCGCTTATATTGCGCCAGTGTGCAGTCAGTTCTGCTCTATGGTTGCGAGACCCTAAATTTTCGCGTGGAGGATGTTCGTCGTATAGGAGTATTCGACTGCAGGTGTGTACGTAGTTTGGTGCGGGCTGGATGGAGCGAGCTTGTAAGCAACTCTGAGGTAAGTCGCCGCGTATTTGGTAATGATTCGATGGATAATTCGTTGCCCCATTGAATTCAGATTAGTCAGCTTCGCTGTTTAAAACACAGAGCGATTAGGTAGAGTAGGTGTCTTTCGTTCTCAAGGTTGGGGTCCGAAAGACTCTGGAACTGGCTGGTTGGAGACACTGAAGGATATGGCAGCGAACCGACAGCAGTGGCGTTCTTGTTGTCATTTCTTATCAGGTCAGAATGCTTGAAAAGGTATGTATGCACACTTGGATTGTGTACCCTGTGTGTTGACCATAGAGGTTCACTTTCTTTGCTTCCCTCCAGTTGGGCTCAGTCCCTCCCCATCTTGTGCTTAATCACTTAATTTGTGTACATTATGAGCTTGGCAGCGATCAGCGAAGTTCTCCTCACTGTATATGGCTGTACAATGATGATGATCTTGGTTTTCATTAGACCAGATTGGGTAACCCAATGTCTGTCTGCGTGACGAGACAGCAATTGTTTTTGCTATTCTGTCATTTGGGCAGTTTGTTGGTGTAAGTGCTTACACTGATCACAAGAGGTGAATGTTTTTCCCCCACCGATATTCGGCGTCGTTCTAACCCGTATTACTCAATCATGGTATTTTGGTTTATACTTCAAGCTTGGAAACTGCCATCGGACTATACGTAATTGTATTTAACCGCGCATTTTTTCTTTAACAGAGTACTTGGAAACAACAAGGCAGCCACCTACAGTCGATTCCATCTTGGCCCACTTACAAACATTTCCCGAACCACCAAGTCCGTCTTTCCTCGTCTATTGCAAGTAAGCTTTTGCAGTTATATTTATCTGGATTTTCTGCCATTGAATTCGAATATGTGCAAACAGATTTTTATTTTTATAAAAATGAATTGTTATTTGGTACAAGCGGCGACTTCATATACGACTGTTTCAACATTGGCAACAGCTTTGTTTTTGGTTTTCTACATAGCCTTTTATTTCTTACAAGTTGCAGTTCAAAATCCTCTCTTACGTGCTCTTCTACTCAATTGTTCTTATTCTTGATCATATCATCAGTGCACCGAAATTAGTGATTTTGCAATGTAATACGGAACCGTGTATTTTTTTATCTTTTTATTTATCTTGCTTGATAATGGTCATTTGGTGATTTCAAGGTGAAAAACCTGATTTCAGTCGGTTTGGGGTAATCAGAGTTGGTTAAAAATCAAGCTGTTCTAATTAACGGCACATTTTATGCATTCAATTGGATGGATATTGCACAACCGTGACGAAGACCTGGAATCCGGTAAACGGTTTGAGGGTCCCTCCCTCCCCAGTGTCGGGGACTGCTGTCCATGTTCTGACGCACGTATAGGATGAACCACAATCGAAAAAAGTTTGTTGTGAACTTAGGTACACTGTTTCTTCCAAAACACTAGTTTAGGTTAGCGGCGGCAGATTTTCAATTTTCATTTGGGCATTTCGGCTGTCTCTTTCTTACTCTGAGACTTAAAAAGGCCATCGTTAAAAAACCGAGTTTGATTACTCCTGTATCATCTCTGTGTCATCGCACACAAAATTTCAACCTAATTCCCGACTTTTTGTTTTTCAGGGGAAGCAAAATCCAGAAGTTGCGGGATGAAATCATCTCATCTTGTCAATCAAACGGTGGCTATAACTACTAGCAAGGGTTTGTTTGCAGCAAACTCAAGA